AAAAAAAATTAAATCCTTATATTGTTACAAGTAGAAAAATTGAACCTCCAAACTTACCATTGTTAAAATTAAATTCTAAAACTTTTATGAGTAGAATAACTGTACCTTCAAACTTTTAATAGTACAGATTAGACTCTTAAACCTTAATTTGTGAAAAAATTGGACTCATAAATAAACTTTCGAAAGGTAAAAATTAAACCATAAACGAGGTCAGGTGTTTTGTTCATTACACTACAAAATGGAATTCAACAATTTCAGTCTTGCCACCAAAGCAAATGGTACTTTCGATTTCCAAATGTAAATCCTTGAGAAATTCTCCGTTCCCAGCTGATTACCCCTTCTGAACGGTTTCGACCTTTTTAGGCTTATTTGGTAACGTTCGTGTTTTTTTTTATGTTTCACTTTTTAATAAAGAAAAATAGAATCATGTGCCTCTAATACCCACGGATTTAATAATAAAACAATATTTTTATTTATGTTTTGAAATACATCGAAAACATAAAACAATAAATTTAGTTTTGTTGTTTCCAAAAATTTTATACAATTTTGATAATGTTTCTAAAAAAATCGAGAAACAAGAAATTGGAACATTACCAAACAAGTCCTTCACTTATCTGTTTCTCCAACTGTAATGGTGGCTCCGAGTGACTGCCTCCTTCCCTCATGATGCTTGCTAGCCTTGGAATTCGTTTTAATATTTTCTCACTTATGATAGAGGAAGAACAATGAGAGGTAAAAAAAGAGGGGAAAATTGGGAGAGATTAAAATAGATTTAATTTTATGAAAGTTTGAAGTTTCAATTTTCAAAATTGAAAGTTTAGATGTGCAATTTTCTTACTTATGAAAGTTTGGGGTGCAATTTTTATAATCGAAAGTTTATAAGTGCAATTTTTCCACTTRTAAAAGTTTAAGAGTTTAATTTTTACAACCGAAAGTGTGGGATTGCAATTGTAACAACCATCGTACTTTACAAGTAGTTTATACAATTTACCTTAACGTTTTTATCCAAATTTTTATACTATGTTAAGTAAGTTTATCATCTACCAATTTTAACATTTATCAATGGTGAGAGATAAAATTTTAAAAATTTAAAAAATAAAGGCTAAATTAAAACATTTTAAATAATATGGACTAAATTAAAAAATACTTATATTAAAATATATATTTAAACTTCTTTTTTTCTTTTCCAAATAGAGATGTAGCTCAAATAGTAGAATACTCGCTTTGCAAGTATGCGCTTTGCAAGTATGGTCAGGTCGACGAGTACATCTTTGACATAATTTTTTTTTAGGAAGGTTGATTTTTTGTAAAGAGAGAATTAATTTGTATAATTCAATTTATGACAATTTACTTTAGCGGGATTTGTAATGTGTAGCATATAAGTTTTCTATATTTAACAAAATAGCATGTCTTTTTTATATTTTCAGATATARCATTTTTTTGAAAATCCTGATTTTAAAATTTTCAGTATTCCCAAATTACCCTTTTCAGTTATCGCTTCGTTATTATATATCAAACATATATCACATATATATCAGGAGTATATCTGACAACATTAGTATATTAGAAGTAAATCAATAGTATATCAGAAGTCAATCAGTTCTATATCAGTTGTATAATAGTAAATCACTATTTTACCTACTTTAATCCTTTGTCTTGTATTTTTTTGATCAATTAGAAATCAATAGGTATTGGCACGCATGGAAAATGAGAAAAAATTTGATATTTACTGAAAATGAKAAAGAAAACTTGAAAGGAACGTSAATGTGAACGTCAATGCTGATTTTCGAAATTACTGTGAATGAGAAATCAACTAGAAATTAGAGGTAAATAGAAACTTAGGGTTTTTTTGTATATCAATAATATATCAGTGATATATCAAGTATGTATCGTACATATATCAATAGTACAATTAAGTTCTATTTAAAGTTTTAAARATCAAAACGAAATCAGCAACAATGTCATTCTTAAAAGGTTTGAACATCATTCTTGGGTATCAATATCAACATCAAATCAGCAGCAAAGTCTTTCAACCAAAAACTTACAGGTTTAAACATTAAAACGAACMAGTAACATAAACCAAAAGTAGACTAACAATGTCATTCTTAAAATTCTATAAAAGAAGAGGCATAAGTTCCAGAAGTATAAGTTCCAACAGTCTAGAAAAGTGTTTCGTTCTTGTTAATCTTTAGATAAAAKCTTGGGACATCAATCTTCGTTCTTGGTGATTGTCGTGTCTTCGGAGATAATATCTTTGAAGCTTTCCATTTTTCCRTAGACAACACTTTTGGCGTTGGTTTATGTTGTCTTTTGGGACGAACAACATTTTAGAAGATGTTTTTCTATTAAATTTTTCGTGTTTGTACCATTGATTTTATCTGAAAAAAAAAATTATTTCATATATTAGTAGTATATCAGAAAACATATATTAGGGGTAATATGTTCGAATTAATTGGTAGATATCATAGTTATATCAGAAGTAAATCAATTTCATATCATATGTATATTAAACATATATCACATATATATCAAGAGTATATCTGTCAATCATAGTTATATCAGAAGTAAATCAATAGTATTTCAGAAGTCAATCARTTCTATATCACCTATAGTAGTGGATATCATAATTATATYAGAAGTAAATCAATTTCATATCATATGTATATCAAACATATATCACATATATATCAAGAGTATATCAGAAGTAAATCAATAGTATATCACCTATAGTAATAGATATCATAGTTATATCAGAAGTAAATCAATTTCATATCATATGTATATCAAACATATATCACATATATATCAAGAGTATATCTGTCAATCATAGTTANGTAAATCAATTTCATATCATATGTATATCAAACATATATCACATATATATCAAGAGTATATCTGTCAATCATAGTTATATCAGAAGTAAATCAATAGTATATAAGAAGTCAATCAGTTCTATATCTCTTATAGTAGTAGATATCATAGTTATATCAGAAGTAAATAAATTTCATATCATCGGTATATCAAACATATATCACATATATATCAAGAGTATATCTATCAATCATAGTTATATCATAAATAAATCAATAGTATATAAGAAATCAATTAGTTTTATATCACCTATAGTAGTATATATCATAGTTATATCAGAAATAAATCAATTTCATATCAGATGTATATGAAACATATATCAAATTTATATCAGGAGTATATTTGTCAATCATAGTTATATCATAAGTAAATCAATAGTATATAAGAAGTCAATCAATTCTATGTCACCTATAGTAGTAGATATCAGAAGTAAATYAATTTCATACCATATATATATCAAACATATATCACATATATATCAGGAGTATATCTATCAATCATTAGTATATCAGAAGTCAATCAGAAGTAATTTATCGTTGGTTTGGGCCTGTAGGGTATACTTGTAATTTAGAACGTGGGCCTCCGCTTTTTTTRCAAAAAAAAATGCTATATTTGAAAAACYCAAACCTTGTTGCTATTTTGCTTATTTTCCTAACTTTTTTTAYCATATCTCAAGTTGCMCCTTTACTTTATTATGGATCATTTTTAGTATTAAAAACATTTTTAGATTCTCGAAAAAGCAAAAATATGAGCTACCTAGAATCCATTCTGGCAAGAAAATGTAGTGTTTCTTTTTCTTACTCTCTTTATTTAAACTACCAATAATAGATAGTTAAAATTAAATATGTTAGGCAAAGATAATATACCTTTGCCAGAATAATAATAATAATAATAATAATTATATAGCTAGAATGAGGGTGGATTTGAACTACCTTTTAATTAATTACTTTTTAAAAAATAATTTTTTTTATTAAAACAGTTTTAATAAAAGTGGCTTTTATTAAAAAAAAAATTTGTAACTTATTCTTAAAATTGATGAAAAGTTTGTTTCGCTTTACTGCATCTAAAAGTGATTATACAAAATTTAGATTATCATAAATAAAATAGTAATAAAACATATTATTAGTTTACTTTTGAATTAATAATTAGTTAGAAATAAGGAAGATATATTATAGTAACTGTCATATATTTGATTCCTATTCCAATTCAAAATAGTTTTATTAAACAACATTAATAGATTTMTGATTTTAATTGCATAAATCTCTAGTAAACAACATCAAAGAGATAATGATCTCATTTTGATTAAAAGCAAAAAAAAAAAAAAGTTTTGTAATGTACCTTGACTATGAGTTTTCACAATTTATTTATAGAGGTGGAATTCTAAAACTATTACGATATCTTCCTTTTTTGTATTCCTTTGATCTTGGGGTGTTTTAYACTGACGTATCCGTTCTACGACATATAAGGAGGTTATCAAGATAAGACGAGTCCAAATCAACTATAGACTAATCGGTTCGGTCCATTACTGACCAAGTGATGGTCGGTCGAGTAACAAGCCGACCAAGTGTAGTTGGTCGAGTCGACTAGCCGAAGCCAAGGCCAACCACGACTTGGCTGAGCCGACCAATCGACTCATAAACTGGTTGTATGTGGATTAGGTGCGATCGCTTGATATCCAGACTTGACTTATGATTAGAGTTTAATCATTCAATCCATATTCTTGGTCTTTGTTTTGTTTCACCCTATAACATATACCAGTTTGACTACAATAATTTCTTTGCATAAATTTTACTATTTGTTTTATACAACATGAAGAATAACTTATGAAATGAATCTAAAAAAAAAAATCATGAAATAATGTTCAATTAAATTTCTAAATCTCTACAATACATTAATTAAAAAATATATGGCCATTATTTGCAAGTAATGCCAAATCGATGGCAATTCTCTCTCTCTTATTAACTCCCAAAATTTCATCTCTCTTTTCGATTATTTAATAACATGAAAATCAGTTTCGTGTCTGTTGCTGCTTCCGAAATTTCTCTGGTCCCCTCTTTTGTTTTTTCTCAATTTATAGATCCATGATAATTTTTTCATTATTCTGATCATCGAGTGTTGGGTAGAATTTGAAATCTGCTGGGATCAAAGGCGACACAATGAATACTGGGGAATATATCAATATTCAACCCTCCGAGCTCAAATTCCCATGTGAGTATTCTTTCGACTCCGCCCCCTTTTTGTTTCCTCGCAACTTTCTCTGAAGAATTTCTGGAAAGGGGAAATCGTTTCTTTTGGGACTTCCCACTTGGTGGATTCACGAATCTTTGGTCAAAACTTTTGTTTCCTCCGATTACGTCTTCGTTTTTCGTTTTTCCTTCTTCTTTATTGCTTTATTTTGACTCTTCTTTTTATTTGTGATCCTCATGGTTTGGCCTGTTTTGGTGTTGAAAATCAKTTTTAGATGTTGGGTTTTCGTTGAAATTTAATTTTATCTAGTAATCCGCGGATGTCGTCATGATCAAAACTTGAGAAATGGTAGGATGTAGACGGAGGAATGAGAGGGAAGAGAGAGAGAGGGGAATCTGACTTAGACCGCTTATCTACTAAGGTTCAAGAAGTTACCCGAGAGAGTTGCATTGTTGTTCATCACGAATTGCAAACATCAGGTTGAATTGATTGAAGGAGTTCGATTAACTTTTTTGGGGATTCGTTCTATTTGCAATATTTGTTTCTGCTCACTTCTTAGAGGAAGATGTTTGAATATTTGAAATCTATCCCTACGTTTTGCTATGATTTACTTGAAGCTTACCCATGACTACAATTTCATCTCATTTGATTTATGGATACCTGGTAGGCACTTTTATTTGTTTGTGTTTGTGTTTGCTTTTACTCTTTGTAATTTTTTAAAAATCTATTTGGTGCGTATTTGTATGGTGGAAAAGTTGAAGTGAAGAAGCAAAGTTCTTGTTCCTTGCAATTGACCAACAAAACGGAAAAATATGTTGCCTTCAAGGTATGCCTTTGTCGTTCATTTTTGGTATGTTAGTTTGGTCTAATTTTGATGCCTATGGATTGACAATGCATACACTTTCTACATTCAATCGTCCTAATTTAACAGGTTAAAACCACCAATCCCAAGAAGTACTGCGTTCGTCCAAATGCTGGAGTCATTTTGCCCAATAGTACAAGCAATATTACAGGTAAATCATTATTCAATTTTCTACCGCTATTTAAAATTTATAAATCTCACCATCATTTTAAACTTCATTGTGTCTCCTGGATTAGTCAATATATTTTTCTTGAAATTTTATGTTCTGGTCTCTACTATGGCATTTGATTTTTTATTGGTCTTTTTAGTTACCATGCAAGCTCCGAAGGAGTCGCCTCCTGATATGCAGTGCAAGGATAAGTTCTTAATTCAAAGTGTTGTAGCACCAGATGGTGTAGCATCAAAGGACATTAGTCCAGAATTGGTGGGACTATCTTGTTGCTGCTTCCATTGGTTTTGTAATTTCTGATCTGTAAACATTTTAACTCACGTTTTGCATCTATAAAATTGTAGTTTAACAAGGGAGACGGTAAAGCAGTRGATGAGTATAAGATGAGGGTTGTTTACATTTTTGCAAATCCTCCATCACCCGTCCCAGAAGGATCCGAAGAAGGATCTCCTCCCAGGACCACTGGGCTTGAAGATGGAAACCAAAATTTTGCATTGTTTGATGCTGTAAGTGTTTTCCAAATTTCTTTGGTATAGTTTTTCCCTCTGTCCTTTATTTTCCACCAGTGATTGGAGACAAGGCAGGTTTCTTTTGCATATCTTAATGCAATTTGTTAAAATTTAGGTCTCTAGATCTCTGGAGGAGCCTAAAGAGAAATCATCACAGGTAAGATATTTTTCTCTTGCTTCTATATAAGCATTTAAGTGTTTCATCTGCTTTATCACTTGGATTTTACTCTTTTTTCTCTCTCTTCCATTTATTTCTTTTACTGCACACAATTTTCAAGATTTTCAGTATAATGAAATTAAAAATTAATTTTTCTAACTATCTCCAAAAGTTCTCTTTTAATGTCTTAGTTCTCCATTTTTTAGTTATTTAATTGTTGATTTCCAATGACAAGCCTGTACGAAATGCATGGGTATGTGATGTACATATCCTCCTAAAAAGCYAATGAAAGTATAAAATAYTTTAACCAAAATTAAGGAAAAAATTAGGTAGTTGCTGACTATATATTTCCCGGTTAGCAGCCAAACAAGATATGTGAGAAGAGATTAGGTCCTCCGCCGCCCGATTTTTCCTTTTCCTATCTGTAAAGAAATCTGATAGTTTCTTTTTTTCCAAGTATCCCAAAATATAGGCAGAAGAAACTAACTTAAAAAATTGATAGTCCTTAAAAAATTGATAGTCCTTTGTGTGACAACGTATCTTAAAAAGTTGGTGGGCCTTTGTCTCTGACAATAACACAAAAGTATCTATTAGCAAGTTGGGAGCTGCATCAGTAAAAGTTGAAATTTAAAAAATGTTATGTTCATAATTACAAGAGCAAAGAGGTAAGAATTAAAGAGATATTGATTGTATTCTCTGCACATTTTCAAGAAACATCCTACCAGGCCAACCATACGTGCACATTTTTTTAGACCTTAGCTTGCCATRTGAAGCTGGAAATGATATTTTAGATGAAGGAAAATTGTTAATCAATAACGCAGGGAGAGATTTACCTGAGGCCTGAGGGGAACTTTTTCAACTTCTAGAATTTGTGATCCATATACTTGTTAGGAAAATTAGCAACTCTAAGAGAGGTAATCACCATTCTCTTGTCTTTTGATTATTGAGCTGAGTTCGAGATCTTAGGAAGAGCAAGCTTCTAAAAAATGTGAAAGCACTTTTAACTTACTACAAAGGAATAAGGATTAGAAAATTTCAAWTTAAGGCAGGGTATATGATAGGCCTCCTATAGTCAAAATGTATCAATGAAGGCGTGTAAGGGGAGAAGTAGTCTAGAGTGAGAGAGTATTGTTAGTTAGTGTTGTGAGCCGAACTTTTGGGGGAGGGGGGTAGTAAAAAGAATGACATGCGAGAGGTTGTTGTTAGTTGGGTCTGTTAGTGAACAGAAGAGTAGATAGCTTCTGTAAATGAGGATGTTTTTGTTCGTAGCTTGATTGGAAGGCTTGGAGAGGTGGGAAGCTCTGAAAACATCCCTTGACTTGTATCCCATCATTGATAAATAAAACAAAGGTTTAGTATGGGATCTGGTTGAAATCCCTTGTTTTATCCGAAGGCTTTCACATACATGAGCATGGGCATTAAATTTTCAGACTTTGTGTTACTTCTGGATCCACATTTTTGGTTTAAATTGAAAATAATATTATTATAAGGAGCTTTTCATGGTGATGGGAGTTCGGGTGGGCCATTCAGCTATGACTTTTTTGTGTTTTGTTTTTTGAGAGGTGTTGTGTCACAAGGAACTATCCTGCCCTTTTCAGGTTAAGAAGTCTTTTATGTTTTTCCCCTCCCTCCGTAAATGATGCAGGGTATACTTGTATAGGACTGGTAGGATGTAACAGACTCCGTGTAGTTCCCTACTTGGCTGCCATGGTTAACTGTGATGACATTGGGGCTAGGAGAGCTATTGTTGTGGAGTTTAAAGTTTAAACATTCATGCCTAACCATAAGAGTGAACATGATGGAGATCTTTGCTATAGCTTTTGAAACTTTGGAAGATTTCAGTTGACTTGTTAACATTATCCTGAACTGTATGAATCATCACAAAGAAAATTTGCAGATAGGCTTGAAAAAATGTGCAAGGTAGTGTGATTCTGTTTGGAGCAGATAACAGGTAGTCATAGATTACCTTCGTAACTGCCATGAGCTTGCCTATTTGATTATTAGAATTTTCAGAAATAGATCTTGGTGAGGAATGCAATCTTGGTGCTTGGATGGTCAGGATGATAACTTGTATGATCATAAACTGTATAGATTGTTTCCGTGCCAATCATTTACTGAACCTGTTTATGTGCTGTGTTGTAAATTGGGTATTTACAGACTTACAGTGTTGATCAAACTTCATGCACAATCATAATACTTCAATGATAAACCAGCGGGTGTAATATTGAATTGATTGATGGGGTATTGGTTGTTATATTTAACATTTGGGAGCTGCACCTGAAAATGGCAACACAATGTGTTTCTGGACGAGTGGATGTTGATATATATTTTTCTAGCTTGTCAATTTTTCCTTGCATTTTATTATKCTAGGTATTATTTGTCAATTTTGCTAGTTCATGATGCAAATATCGATGCAGGCATCGTCTGCCATTTCTAAGTTGACCGAGGAGAAAGCTGCTGCTTTGCAACAGAGTCAGAAACTACGCCAGGAGCTGGTATTTGCTTTAAGGATTACATGTTATTATCTTTTATCTTCAAGCTGCGTGTAATTCTAGAAAGTCTAGTGCTTTGATCTCTTGCTATAATTATGTTTGCGGGGAAGTATTGCCATATGGGCATGGAAAATAAGAAAATGTGAGAAATAGTGTCTAATAATATTTGTGTGTTGAGGCCACAAGTAAATTTTTTGATTGAAATGTTGTTATTATTGCTGAGACGTTACTTCCATTGACATGTCAATGCATCAAAAGGGAACAACATATTTTTCTCAAAATAACTTGAAATTATTGAAATGTCTGAAAATGTCTGAAATGTCAACAAAATGTGGGAAATGTTGACAAAATTCCAAGCATGGTGTGAAATAAAGAGGATATTTTTTCACAAATGAGTAGAAAAAATATTTGAAAGAAGTAAATGGGAAAAAACTCAATTGTTGTTATACCTTGTCACCTTTGACGTTATTTGTCTCCGTAGGTTGTGATTGCATGTGTTGGGACTCAGACGAATTTGTTATAAGTGAGATCAAATCATATATAGGCTTCAATATAGCTACCTAACTTTCTTTTGCTATCATATCTCTATTATACTTCCTTTATCATTATCTTGCTCTGCTCTCTCTCCTCCTCCTTCCCTAGTATCTCTGCTTTTAGACAATTTTATTTTTATGTATTCTTTTTTTAGTACAACATGTGGGGGTGAGGTATCGAACTCAYAACCTCTTGATTGGAGATATATGTCAATTACTGCTGAGCTATGCTCGCTTTGACATTTTTATTTATTCTTTTTGTTATAGCTTGTATATTAGTATATATTAGTAAATAGCCTAGTTATAAGTGTATTACTTATTATTCATATTGTCSTTTATTATTATTTTACATTTTTTATTTTAGGGAATCGTGGTTTAAATATATATATTTTCAGTAAATGTAGAATTGCAAGGTGTTTTTCTCCCCAAACTTCTATAGTTTACATTTCTCTCAATTTATATTTTGGAACGTTTCTTACTTAATTTTTATTAATAGTTAATACGTTCTCTACCATATTTTATATTTGTGGATTTAAGAATGATGGTTTTATAGTGTATTTAATTGTTAAAGTTTTATTACTTAATTGAATTAGATATCTATGGGTTTTGTGGTTTCTATGCTTTCTTCCCATGCATATCCATTGACATAGATAGTTCCATTAACATTTTCATAAAAGAAAAAATTCTGTTAACATAATGAAATCTAGTTTTTTATACTAAAAAAACCATAAAAGATTCAAGATCTTGACATTTTCACCGGCATCTATATCTGACTTTTTGGCTGAAACTGTAAAGGACTATTGTTATGCCAGTATTTTTGATTTTTTCCCCTTTTAAAGAATGAAAGGGAGGGATTCTATCGGGAATTCTTTATTTTCAGTTCAGTTGGATTTAGGTGGAAATTCTGTTTTGTATAAATCCCCAAGTTCTTTTTTCCCTTTCTAGATAAGAAATCAATTTTTTTTTTCCTGAGAAACAATTATATTAAAAACCTAGAACATTATAAAAAAGGAGGGGATGAGGCGATGAGCAATCCACTTTACATGGTGAAGAAAATACAAGAAAGGTAGCAAAAATGCAAGTAGCATTGTCATTGTGGTTAAAAGATACACAGATTGAGCATGCACCAAATAGAGGTCAACCATCTAGCTAAATCCCACCCCTCTTCCCTCTGGCCCTACTTCCAAGAAAAGGGGGGAATTATAAGAAAAAGGAAGATAATAAGCCCTCCAAAAAAGTCCAATGATGTTCACCATCAGCATAGTAGTCAATRAGGATCAATAGAAATAGTAAAGGGCTTAAAAGGGAATGAGTTTAAACCATGGTGCCACCTGTCTAGGATTTAATAGGTTACCTTGACAATCAAATATAGTAGAGTCAAGTGGTTGACCCGTGAGAATAGTTGAGGTGCCTGCAAGCTGGTCTGAAGTTGAAGATTCATAGATACTAAAAGAAAAAAGCTCAAAGATGTTATATAAAAGTGCACCTGGCAAAAAGATAGTTGAGGAATAATGATAGACAAGGAATCATCAAGTAGAAACCACAAGACCCTATGAAAAGATCCTATGACTCTCTTAAACATTTTTCAAAGTTATCAAAAGAATCAAGACTCTTTAGAATCATTCAACCATAACATGTTAGCCTTATTTTTTATTGGACATCTCAATTAAGTTCTGAAGATGAAATCGAAGAAGCAGGTTAGTGATCTAGCAAGGAAATAATCATAGGATAGAGAACTTTAAGCATGTATTACCAAAGATTTATCTGACGGGAGTGGGAGTAAGAGAAAGCGCCTGAAATTTAGATACAGGAGAGAAAATGAGGTCTTTGGTGWAGACATGGTGAAGAAGGGGACATTAAAAGGGGAGAAGGACAAACCTCAAGGATCCTGTGTTGACTAGAGGCTCAAAGAAAACTTATAAGAATCTCTCTTAAATGATGATATACGTAATGTTGTGATAGGAACTCAAATAACTATAATAGATTGAAAGATAAAAAGGATAGGAGATTACAATAATCCCTTAGCACTTCAAGAGGCCAAGAACTCTCCTTCTCAAAGATTATCTCCTSAAGCCTAAACCACACCGAATAACTGCCTCCCTTCCTCCCTTCCTCCTCACTCTATTTAGAACAACTCTCTCTAACAAGTTTCATATCTAATTACTAGTAYACCTTTACTATTCTATGAATAACCCTAATTAACCTCAAAGGCCATTCCTAACATGTTTATGAATGGTTAAGAACTACCAGAAAGTTCTTTCATGATGGTTGGATGAAGATGGCAAATACTACTAATAGTGAGAATTATTTCTTTAAATGAACCATTTATCCCTTTCAACCAGATAACGTGTTGTTATAATGTCCCTCAAAAGTTGAAGCAAAGCTATTGTGTGCAGACAGAGAACTATCGTGGATAGGATCTTTTATGGTAAAGTTCAAAGAGTGTGATGTTGAACTACATGGTTGAACCTTGATTGAACCCTGTCATGGGGGTTGGCTAAAAAAGTTTGAAATTTTCTGCTTCACCTTGGAAGTTAGAGCTGTTGGAGGAAATAGGGGATGCTTGTGGTGCCTTCCACAAATGTTCGTATGGAACTTGAACTTTTACCTACTGAATGAGACCAGAACTAGAGGTTAAGGAGATTTGGGTTTTTACTATCAGAATTTGAGCTCATAGGCAGAAACAGAAATCTTTTATGGTGCAAATTCTTCTGTTGACATCGTTGATGAGGTGGAGGTCCCTGGTGGGTTCTCTCAACAAGCTGCAGAACATTTTCTGGAGAGGATGAAGAGTTATGTCTAGTGGTAATATAAGGAATGAAGTTATTCTTCCTTTGTCCAGTTAAAGAACTCCTGCTTGAACAGAAGGAGAAAAAGGCTAAGCTCGATTCCTAATTAATGATAAATTTGAAGCTTTAATTTCGGTCTTCTTTGCAAAGCATCTTCGTCCTCAAGTGGGCCTCAGGCTCACTTGGGATCAGTCTTGAGGAGAATGTTGGGCCCAATGAAAAATAAAAATAAGTGGAAAATTAAGTAAAAATGATGGCCTGAAGCAAAAAATGTCAATCTCGCAAATTCTTAACAACCAAAATCAGGTGTKTATCCTCTAGAAGAACAGCCCCCATTTTTTCAATATGAAGAATGAGAAGAAAATACCCTTGGAAGTTTTTGGCTTATTGCAGGAAAATTTGTGCTGACCATTTTGCCATGAAGATTGGCAATGGTAGAAATACAAGCTTTTACAATCACGGTTGGGCTGAGGACAGACCTCTATAGTTTTTTTTCCCTTGATGTTACCAATTCTGTACCATAAAGGAGGGGAAGGTAGCCAATTCACAGCCCATGGGATGAGGAAACAACTCAGTGGAATTTTAGCTTTACCTGTCCTCTTTATGATATTGAGATTAATGACTATCAATCTCCCCATCGTTCTAAATTGCCAGAGTTTGAACAATGATCCACATCGCTTAGAATAGGTGTTGGTTAGCTCTAGAAACTATTCTGTTTGTTCTTTCTTCTCCTACCTTACATATAAATTTCAACATGATGGATTAGGGGACTTTCAGGCACATTTAGGCTTTTGGAACATCAAAGAGAATCAGACTTTTTTTGCTGGAATTTGGTGCTGGGCGGTTTATATACAGCAAATGTGGTGCAACAAAGATGTCCAAACTTGAACCTCTTCCTGGACGTGTGCTTGCATTGCTAAAAGGGAAAACCAAAAACTACCTTTCCTTCATTGCTCCTACACTAAAAATTTATGAGATGTCTTTTGGGAGAATTTAACCTGTGCTGATGCTTTCCTCTGACTACCTCTTCAGCTGTTTAACAGATTTTACTGACCAAGACAAGCTAGAGACTAGAGTCATTTTAGAGAGTGCTATCGAAGAAATTTTATTGGAAATTTGGATGGAAAGGAATATAAACTCTCATATCATAGTTTTTCTACGGAGTTTAATCCTTTTTCTTCTTTTTCGGTAATAACAATTCATTTTGTATCAACTCCGATTGGAGGGATTTTTTATGATCCCCTTGGTTTTGTTGGGTTGATTCTTTTACACCCTCTATATTTTTGGGATTTCTTAGTGAAAGTTCTTATCTAGAAATATTAATCTAGCTGATTTTCTTTAGTTATACGGTAACCTTMAAGTGACAAAAATCAGTATCCTCATTTTGCATAAAAGAAATCGGAAACACAGSCAAGTGGAGTTAACGGTATACCATCATTTCTGTCGGCCTCAAATTTAGTTACTATAATTACTGTTGGTCTTCAATGTATGAGGCTTCTGTCCATATGCATTAAGTCTAGCATCTTACAAGTTACACATTTAAACTAGGTGCTAAAATGCTCCAAGGGTAGTCCAATTGGTGAAGGCTCGGTTGCTCTTGGCATACTGGTTTAGAGGTCTCAAGTTTGGACCTTCTGGTGAGCTTAGTACCAAAAATCCTTAATGTCTCCTAGGTTCGGGCGCAGGTGCCCCGGATATAGGAGAGCAAAGCTTCGACTCCCGGTTATAAACAAAAAGATATAAATAAAAAATAAAAAATAAAGAAAACCTAGGTGCTAAAATCAAACAGTATTGTGGGTTAAAAAATTAGCAATTCCTCCAACTTGCATGTAGTTCTGCATTCTGTTATGTTGCAAAATGTGTTATGGTTGAATATCTACTATTTACTTTTGACCTCCCATCTGTTTTATCGGCTCACAATGAATTTTGCAATCGATATTTGAAAGTGAGTCCGTTTTTGAATCTGCCTTTTCTCACTCTTCAATTAGTGCGTGGTACTGATAAAATAAGTTTAATCTTACTTTACTCTCGCAAGTTAATACTTTTTTGATGTTTACCTTGGACAGGAACTTCTGAGGAAGGAATCGAACGGAAGGCAGGCTGGCGGTTTCTCGGTATTGTTCGTGGTGCTAGTCGGTCTGATCGGAGTTCTGATCGGCTACTTGGTGAAGAAAACATAGGCAAGTCAGGCAGTTCCTTTCTTTTTGTTTGTKGCATTTTGCTGTTATTATCTGTGTTTGGTCTAGAAATAACCACCTTTTTATGGCATCAAATGTTTTAGTGCGTCAAAAGGCAGAGTTATGGATGTGAAATCATTTGTTTTACCCTTTGACTCTGGATAGTTGTTTCTTGTGAAGAATACTTTTTGAATGGATTCAAATCAGTTGCTTGACTGTTCTCTTTAGTTATAATCTGCCTTCCAACTTCCATCTTGCTTTTGGTTTTGGTTTCTTGAATGTGTAAGGGATTGATTTTTAATTGAAATACCTTGTTTTTACTAGCACTTGATTTTTTTAATCTATTTTTACAATTTTGCAAACTACTTTTAATATTTTAAAATAAGAAAAAAGTGCTTTTGCACTCTTTAAAATTTTGATTGAAAACTACTTTTGGACTTTCATAAATACTTTTGAACATGTCAGATATTGCAATCACAACTCTACAAAGCTCATATGATTGTGTGACTCTTGTTCATCAGTAAGTTAGCCAATTTTTGTTTTCCTTTCTAATTTCACAATTTTTTAAACTACTTTTAATATGAAAAATTTTTAAAAAGTATTATTAATCGGTAAAAAAACTTTAATTTTTTAATTAAAAAGTACTTTTTAGACCTTTGACATGTCAGATGTCACAAATGCGATTCTACAAAGTCCACAAAACGAAAAACGATTGTGTTGTACTTGCTCCTGTCCACAGCTAATTAAAAATGCAAAGTATTTTATACGAAAGAAAATGAAAACATGTGGGAAGGGATTGTTAGAGTACGTTGGCACAAGAAACTGCCTATTTAATTGAACTTCCATCCAAAATTATTTTGATACTTAAAAAAAACTTCTAAAATTTCAAATTTTGAACTATTTTTCATCTACCTATATTGTCCTCTTAATGAAATTGTGATGAACATGAGAGGAGATCGAAGAACAAACAATCCCCTCAATACGATCATTTTTTACCGTCAGCATCGCCTTTCTTCGCGACAGGCTTTCGATAATTTTCCTTGACGTGCTTCGCCATGATGTAGGCCGACTTTGCAAGCTTCTTGGCATTGGGTATGTTGTAATTTTGAGCAACGAAGGCTCCAAAGAGAGTTCCCAACACGAATGAGAAAGAAATTCTCATCATCCCATTTTACCAACAAATCTCTTCCAAAAATATACAACACACACAAATTATTGTATTGTACTACTTAAGTTTTCGAAGAATGATTTGACCCCTTCTCCACGGCTTACCTTCAAAGAACTATTCAAATTTTATATTCCACCATTAAGTTTTTATTTTTAATTATTTTTAATTATTTTTAAGGCTTACGTGTTCTGCAAGTAAGGTATTTGTTGGTAAAATCTCTTGTTTTCGATCTATATCGATTTATTATAATTATATTTTTTATTTGGGATGACAATACAATTAGATTTTTTAAGCACCTAATTATATAAATGTATAAAAATGTATAATAACTCTAATATTTACAGATTTATCAGAATAGACCGCCAATGTGAAAATTAAATATGTTTTTAATAAATAAATAGAATCCTAAACCCTAGATCAGAGACGATTTTTATTTTTAATAAATAAAAAAGTAAAACTCTAACTCTAAATCCTAGACTCTAAATCTTAAATCTTCAAAAAGATAAAATATGTTGGAAAATTCAAGAGAAGCACCGTGGGAAAATTAAGCAAGAATAAGTACATTGATGAGAAGAGTTATTATATTTGTTTAATAATTTATTCAAATATTTTCATTTAATCCTTAATTTGCATTAAATGACCCTCAATGGGAAAGAATGCATTTTGAAATATAATAATAAATGTGATAGAATGACATTTATTAAGGATAATTTGAGGGAAAAAAACTTTTTTAAATCATGAAAATAGTTTGTAAATATTTTAAATAGGGGTGTTCACGGTTCGGTTTGGAGGCCGAACCGAAACCGAAACCGATTTTTTTTAAAAAAAAATCAAAACCTAGTCGAACTTAAGTACACACCAGAATCGAACTGAATCACGATTTGACTCGGTTCCTGCGATTTTGCTTTTGATTGAACAAGCTAAAAAATAATAATAATAATAGCAAGGTGGGTTGGCGTGCACTCATGACTCAACCATTGCCACCATTGGCAGCGTGCACTGCTGCCAGCTCACCAAACCTAGTGTTGCCGCCGCCGACTGTGCAGTGTAGGTTTGTATTTATTATTATTTTTAATGTGAGTGATATAATCATATATATATATATATATATATATATATATATATATATTAAATAAAATTATAGGTAATCGGTTCAGTTCGGTTTCTTAAGCGGTTCTGCTTTTGAAAATCGAAACTGAACCGATTATTTCGGTTCTGTTTTTCTGCTTAATCGAACCGAACCGCCAAACCACCAAACCAAAAATTCGGTTCGGTTTTTCGATTTTGTCGATTTCTTCAATTTCGTTGTGCGCCCAAAATTTTAAATAATGAATCTTTTGTGAGATATGACGTGTAATATGATCCACTGAAAAACCATTTCTATTTTAATTTTGAGGGTTTGAACTTAGTTTATATTTTGTTCAACGACTTGAGAGATCATTCTTTATGGAAACATTTATTTATTTATTTTGTTCCAACAGCACTTGTCAAAATCTAGCTCAATTAAAACAATAATATTTGCCAAAATAGTTTTTAAAAGAATAAAATTTCCATAATTTGAAAAAGAAAATATATGTTTTAAAAAATCCTTATTCCCTACCTTAACAGTTTTGTCCGGAAAAAAATAAAAATAAAAATAAAAAGTGACCAATATGATTAGTTGATATATTAACAGTTAAGATACCCGATTAGTTATAATATTATTTTAAGTCAAAATAATATCAGGTGAATTTCAATTTTGATTTATTTTTGTATCTCTATTTCCAAAATGTTCGTTTGGTTCATTTTAATGTCCGTACTTTTAAAATATTTTTTTATTTGTGTACTTTTGAAAACGTGATAATTTTATTCTATATTTGAAAAATTTTAACAAAAATTTTACATCTAACTGAAACTTTTAATATAAAGTAATATTTACGTTTTAAGGAACATAATGAGTATAATGTTACGTTGAAATTATAATAGAAAAAATGATATTAAAAATAGAAATAAGGGACCAAGATGGTCACTTTTTTTTAAATATAGGGACAGACACAAATATTTTGAAAGTACAATGATTAAAAATAATTCAAAGTTGAAAAATATATTGACAAAAATAAACATCTTGAAAGTAGAGAGATCAAAATGAACAAAAGTTGAATTTTTAAAAGAGCCATGATAGCTACATGAAACCAAGTCGTTTGAAGAGATTTCAAAACTCTAAACGAGGGAGGAACATGGGTATTGAGGGACCGTTCGATAACATTTCCGTTTCCCATTTCCTCTTTGTTCCCGTTTCTCTTTTTTGAAGAACGGACATGTTTGTTAGCTCATCTCCTTTTTAGTTTCTACATTTTCGGAAACATTTAAAAAGAAAGGACTAAATTTTAAAAATTTAAAAACTATATAAACTAGATGAAATATTGTATATTGCATTTTAATAATGAATGCGAACTTTTGCTTCATTGGTGTAGGGCTCTTATTTAACCCGAACGTTCTTAATTCGAGTCACCTAGGCCTCTACACTTCATTTTTTTTTTCTTAAATTTTTTAGTTCCTTTTTTTATATTTTTATAATTTCTTTTCTGAATAAAAAATATTCTAAAACTTCTTTTATATCCAATAAATTTATATGACAAATTATATTTTATTTAATGAATTATATTATTCGAATATATGTTATATCTTTTTATATTATATCTACTAAATTTTATTTAAATTAAAATAATAGCTCAATTGGTTTAGACACTGTCCGACCAACAAATTGTGAGTTCAAATCCACATTCATTCATGTTGTACTAAAAAAACTAAAAATAGACCATCCTAAATTAAAATATATATCCCTCATTAATAGGTCATGGGTTGGAATCCTCATCCCATAAGTTGTTTATTTTTGTTTATATTGTTTTTATTTTTGTAAGAAACCAGAAATAGAAATGATTATGAAACGTATTCTTGTTTCTAATTCTAAAAACGTTAGAAGCTAAAAATAAAAAATAAGAAATGAGAAATGATAACGTTACTAAAGAGACCTTAAATTCTCGAAAGTTTGCATCGATAGTTTCGGTGGCTTTTCTTGCGTTTATGTGCAAATAAATGCAAATTATGTAAGTGCATAGATTTGCATTTGAGATTTTTGGCCCTAACCCAAATATGGTTTGGGTTTATAGCTCTCTACTTTATGAACAGGGGAAGAAAATCTAATTTTTTTTTTATATTCACGAGTGTCAAGATCAACTTATGCACATATTGACTAACTTCACGAGACAACTGTCTGAAATACATAATAATGGAGGCTTAGTCGCACGACTGAAATAATAAAATGAAAATAAAGTCCTAATCCAAAATTTAATAGAAATAGAAAATGTTACAAATACTGGGATTTTGTTTTTTCTAATTATATATATATTTGGTAATGTACAAACAGGATGTTGTAATCAAAATAATTTGAGGGACATGTGCACGTGACCGGCCGGTTGATCTTATAACAATGGGGACAATCACCTCTATATTATCAACTCACTCTTTATTTTTAATTTTTGTAATTAATTTCACTTCTATGGTTTCAAGATACTAATCATCTATTGGTTTAAATTTTATTTTTATTTTTTAACCTTCAAACTATTTATTTTAGTTCTCTACATCCCTTTTTATAAAGATTTCGTTTTTATTTTTCTATTTTTAAAAGTTATTTTTGCTTTTTTCACAATTTTTTATTATATTTTTCACCATTCTTCCAAACACAAATTTTTAATCAAATTTTAAAAACAAAAATAATTAATTTAGGGGTCGTTTGATAACCCATTCAATTTTCTTTTCTTTTATTTTTAAAAAATTATTTTGAAATTATATGAGAATTTCAAAAAAAAAAGTAGTTTTCAAAAACAGGTTTTTTTTTCAAAATCTCATTTTGTTTTTCTTTCTCATATTTATCTTTTGTTTTTCTTTCTCATATTTATCTCTAAAAATTTATTTTTCACTCTAAAATTTTTTTATTTCTAAATTTCTCCGTTCAAACTTTATTTTTATCTCTCTAAAATTTTCATATTTTGAATATTTATTGTTATTTGTCTTTCCCCAATTTTTTTGTATTTTTATTTTTTTTTCTAACATATCAGTTTCATTTATCTCCCTAAAAATTTAATATTTTTCCTAACTTTTTGCTCTCTAAAATTTCATATTTTATAACTTTTATTTGTCTTCGTAATCTATTTTTTCCACTAAAAATTATATTTTATTTTCTCGTTCAATTTTCTTTCACGACAACTTTTATTTATCTGTGTATTTATTTATTTTCTATAAAAATTATATTTTGAATCTTGTTTTTACCTCTAAATTTTGTTTTTCTATTTCTTTATAATTTATTTTTTTTAACATATATTTTCTTCTCAACTTAATTTTTTTCTCCAAAATTTTTCTCTTTCTGTCTTTAACTTTTCTTTAACTATTTTTTTTCCAAATATTTTTATTTATCTCTCTAAAATTTATCTTCCAAAGTTTATTTACATCTCTATTTTCATGTCTCTACATTAGGGGAAGAGAAAAATTTCCGCAGGGTCGGGTCCAAAAAAATAGAAAATGCATGTCCCGACCCTCTCCCTGTCCCCGATTCCATTTTTTAAATAATTAATATATATTTATTACACTTTTTTTTTATATTTTAATTCTAAAAATAATTAAAAACAATTATAAAACCGATAATTTTTCTCGAGAACATCTCTCAGACCCAAGAACAATGTGGAGACAGAGACTAAAAATTTTCACGAGCCCAAGAATGAGGGAGAGCGTTCGCACCCACACCGTTGTGGTCCAATAAGATTTTTTTAAGTATATGTGGGAGTATAGATTCGAACTCACGACTTTTGGTCGGATTTAGGTGACTTAATCACAAGTTATCGGTATCATAGGTGTAAATATTATTTTTAGATAATTTCTTTAGAATATAGATACGTCAAATTGCTAGTGGATGACATTTTGGGAGGGCAAGAATTTCCAAGCGAGTTAAGTATTTCTAAGAGAGAAAAAAGAGAAGGAACTATTATGTTAAACGATCATCATAACTTAGCGGCAATTAACATTTACTCCTTATCTTAAGGTTGGAGGTTTAAATCTTGGTGCTCCCAATTTATTGTCATAGTACTATGTTAACAAATAGGGAGTTTTAATCCAACAAATTTTTGAACTAAAAAAGAAATCCAATTTATTTAAAGAGTCCTATTAAATTTTAAGCTGTTAATTGAGCTAATTTATATAGACTTTTGAATTCAGCTAATATTAGGTAAAAAAAACCAACTTTAAAAATAATTTATTTGAAACAAATTTTAAAAATAATTACACTTTATTATTGTTTTAATTATTTTGCTAAATTATTTACTATATATTTGAAAACCATGATGTGTAGATGGTAAAATTATTATTTTTAGTTTATTTTGCTTTTAATCATAAACCTTCATACTTACTCTTTTTAATCCCTTTTTAAGTTTCAAACATTATAATTTAATTCTCAAACTTTACCTAATATGTCATTTGTCATTGTTGTTAAATAGGTTAACAAAATAATAATTTAATTACTTTTTAAAAGTTTAATAATAAACTCTTTTTGATTTTTTACTTTAATTGAAGTAATGACTTAGTTCCTAATTTTTTTTTAACCATTTAGCTCCCATATTTTCAAATGATTAACAATTTAATGTAGTCACTGAACTTTAATATATAACCATTTAGTTCTTAAAGTTTAAAGTCTATAACGATTTAGTCTTAATTGTAAAAGTTTTTGTAATTTGTTGATCTATAAATCGATGAAATACCAAATACGTTTATAAATTACAAATACTGAATAATTATATCAAAAAAGATCAACACTAAATTGTATAAGATTTTTTATACTAGAGGCTAAATTGTTCCGTAGAATAAATCATAACAAATAAAAATTAAGAGACTATGTCATTATTCCAACCAAAGTACATAAATCAAATATCCTAATTTTTTTAATGAAAAACATTTAACATATGAAAGCTAAATCTGAGAATTTTAAAAGTTAACCTATTGAAATTATTAGGCATTTTTAGCCATTTATTTATATATATTCCTGTGTTGAGATGTTAGTTTTTTTACTGCAATATGTGGTATGAAGATCAAACTGAGAACTATGTCAATTACGCGGCCGCAGGTAAAGAGATGTTTTTAAAACATTCTCATTAATAAATTTAAAATCAAAATTTTAGAACAGATATTGATGTAAAAGAGATGTTTTTAAAACATTCTCATTAATAAATTTAAAATCAAAATTTTAGAACAGATATTGATGTAAAAGAAACTATTTCATATATCCCTATTTTTTTAATTATATTTTTTGGTTAAGTTATTTAATTTAATTTTTGTAATAAAAAAATAACAAAAATGGATTAAAAAAAATAGGTGGAAGCTTTTATCAGAAGCTGAGTCATCCCGTGATGATCCCGTCTTATCTGCTTCCCATTAAAAGCAGCGTAGAATTTCCAATTCCAATCCACTTTTTTCAACACAAAATTTTTGACAATTTCAATATTTTAGCATCGCAAAATCCACTTTTCCTCTAAGTTTTCTCCCCAAATCTCGCTCTGATTTCTGTTCCTCGCCGGAAAAACGGATTTCGAGGCCACAAACAAGGCAAAGTTCAGTTCGCACCTCCCATCAGGTTCGTATTTCTTCACCGATGATCCAATTTCGTCTATGGAATTCACAGGAATTGCTTCAATCTCAGTTGATTCGAAGTTCTTTTTCTCCTTGTTTTCCGATCGGCGATTGACTGCTTTAGCGGATTATTGACTTGCTCTATCACTTTTCCCCTCCTATGCCTACATTGAAACAGAACTTGGAAGATAATGCGTTGTTTTTCCTTATCCTCTTTAAAGATTGGTCTATAATATCAGAAATTGTTCTTATAATCTATGATAGGGATTGTAGTTGTTGACCATGTTTACTCCGATTGAGCTGGATTTATCTTTTATTGGTTTACTTTGTAATATGGATCGCAACTGGTTGTAAGTTAAAATCTCTTTTTTTCAGTTTATTCGTCACTATAATGTCTACGAGCTCGTTCAAGCAAGAGCATGATTTCGGTATATTCTCGAGCTTGCTTACGGAGTCAGTTTCTGTATTTTTACTCTCAAAGCCAAATCGCCTTTTGTTTGTTCACTTTTACGCAGAAAAGAGACACGCTGAGGCATCCCGGATTAGAGAGAAGTACCCAGACAGAATTCCAGTAAGTATTATGACTTTTCTCATAGTTTTTTTGTTGCTCTGGATTTCTTCTATTCAAATTGGATAGTCATTTCGCATTTTATTTGACTATAATTGCGTAATCTATGTCTACCAATGTAAATACATGTAAATGTGTATAATCACGTCAAATGAGCTTTTTCTTTACAGATCAAATAATTCCACGTTTGCTGTTAAAGGCTTGTGCTTATTGACACTCTCATTCTTGTCCATTCCTGGCATATTCCACTTAAAAATTCTTTATAAAAGCTTAATATCTGTCCCAAAAGAAGAGCTTTATTATAATGCATACATTTTGGTTGTAAACTGAACATTAGTTCTTGTCAACTGTTGGATTTCTTTATCACCACTCTTTGAGTTTGAGCATCATTTTTAGATACTTTACAAAGTTTTTCCTAATATTTGAACATTTACATTGATGGTATATGCGATATTGAATTTTGTATTCCCATCTGTTTTTTCAAATATAAGACTGAGTTAATAGTTTGAAATTAATGAACCATCATGGATCAGTTGTGTATGGGCGATTGAATTTATTCTTCGTCTTAATTAAGAAACTTAGCTTTCATTTATAAAAAATAAAAGAATAAAAAAGAGCTTACAAAAACAACCGCCCAAAAAGGGTGCCAAACAACAAAAGACCTAACAAGACAAAAAAAGGATTCTAATCTAAAAGAATAAGACCAAAAAGATAATTACAAAATCTCCAGATACATATACTCAAAAGAGACATCAAACTTATTTGGCTAGTGTCAACACCTCTTCCCAAGACTTCTCAAATCCTCTACAAATCGAGATAGTGATGCAAAATGTCACGACCCCAAAAGTTGATGTTGGATGGTGACGGTGGGACCATGACACAAAGCACTTGTTGCTAAAGAAGAGTATATTTGCTAAAATTTTCTTTAACTTCAATTACGTGTCAATGCCAAGAAAAATGTTCATGATATAAACAATACCACTCCATGATTTTGTTCTCATGCTGGAGTGCAATCCAGTCTCTGTTCAGCCATTTATTTTTTATTCCTCAGGTTATATGATCCAATATTTGGTTTCCAAATCTCTCTCGTGTAGTTATGGTTTTTTTTTTTTCTTGTTAATATCATTCTTTTTTGTGTTGAATAGGTAATCGTGGAGAAGGCGGAGAGAAGTGATATTCCCAATATTGACAAAAAAAAGTAAGAAGAGTTTATTTTTGGCAGTCTATAATATTACTTTCTTAACATTGAAGCCTTTTCAATTTATAGTCAGTTTTATTCTTTATCTATAAATGCTATAAATGCTTCTTCTGTATGTCATAATTCTTCCTCCATTTCATCTCTTCCTCCATTCCTTTCATGGGAGCTAGTAATTCTGGTTATGTATCTATTGAATGATTTAGGACTTGGTTCTTTTCTCATTTTCTTGCGCTGGATTGCATCAAGCTTTGGTTTTATATTTAATGGGTCCTTTTTAGCGCTAGATTCTCAAGAAAAGAGGTTTTCAGTTTTTTTAATGATCTGATTATGCATTTGCAGGTATCTTGTGCCTTCTGACCTAACTGTGGGTCAATTCGTTTATGTTATCCGGAAGAGAATAAAACTAAGTGCAGAAAAGGCAATTTTCATATTTGTGGACAATGTGCTGCCTCCAACAGGTTAAACAACACCCTTTTATTTTTTTGGGATCAAGATCTGTGAACGGAAAATCATGATTATTGTGTTTGATATGGAGGGTATTTAGGTATTTTTCTTAAATATATTTACATAGAAGCATAAAAATGATAATAGATGAGAACCATGAATTGTCCTGATTCATTTAACTTCATTCTCAATCCTGACCATTGTTTCTGTGGTACTGTTAGAATCCTAATTTTACTATTACATTAGTCAAATGATATTATTTTAGTCCATAACTTTGGTAGCGATATGTCTTGAACTCCGATTTTGATTCCAATAAGTTCTCATTAGTACAGTACTTAAATGTTGATGTGACATGTTGATTGGTTTAGTGGGTGATGTATGATGATCTAACATAACATGGCACAAAGGAGTAGGCGAGTTAGATAAAATAATGTCATGGAGGCAAAAAGAAAAAAAACAAGATGATGGAAGCTGGAATACATTTCGAATTGAACTTTTTGGTCTATCTGCCTTTATTCTGTGAAATTAGCACACTACCTTGTGCCACCCGTTGTCCTTTCATGCCAACTCACCACCCATTAGTCCAATTTGTGTGCCAATCAGCATTTAAAATAACAGTAGATAATTGGTTGGAACTTATAAGGATCAAAATTAAATATCTAGGGATGTGATTGTGACTTTTTAAAATTTGAGACTAAATAAACACAACCATAAAATTTAAAACTAAATTTATAATTTAACCAATTATGTTTGGAATTTTAGGTACATATATAATTTATTAGCTATTTTTTTCCCTTTTAATTTTTTTCCTTAATTTGTACATAGATCACTCAATTAGTTGTTGTAGAGAATATAGGGAGCAGAAAAGTTTGAGGGGGATTTTACCACGCTCAGCACACTGAGCAGTGGCCAACATTGGTGGTATATATGGACTGTCAACAGTACATGCATAATGTTCTAAGAGGAGAATCAATAACAAACAATAACAGATGGAAAACCCATAAAATATAGGAAATGAAAAAACAGTAAATACCTGGGAAAATCTAGATTTACATATTTTCTAACAGTTGTAACGTGAGTTTCTATAGTTTAGGAGCTGTTACTCATATTATTGTATTTTAAAAACGAGAACCAAGGGAAGAGGTACGAAAGTTTGTGTTCCTTGGGAACTCAATTTCGAAAGTCTAGACTCCCTCCAATGGATCCCAGCTCGAAACTCTAGGAAGACATTTTGATAATAGAGATGTCAGAATATTTTTTTGGCTACAGCAATCTCATTTACGTACGATGATTCGGATCTCTGGTCAACGTGCATAAAAATCTATCAACACTTTCTATTGGGACATCAAAATCTCTTTTTAGTTATTGAGTTTATATCTTCTGATTATTACAGGATCTCTCATGTCTGCAATCTACGACGAGAGGAAGGACGAGGACGGGTTTCTCTATGTTACATACAGTGGAGAAAACACATTTGGGTGACGCCTACTGCAGTTTGCAGTTTCCTGCTCCCTCTCTCTCCTTGTTTATTATTGTCTTCATCAGTCCCTGCAACCCATTGATTATCTTTGTTACTGTTTGTGCCACATATATGCATAATCGCATTTGTAAATAAATTGTACAGTTGAAGACAACTTATTATATATATATGCTGATAAACATTGATACCAAAAGTCATTGTTTCATCTTGTAATCCCGTTGAATTGTATTTAATGAAGTGGTAAGTTTCAACTTCTAAATCAGCTTTTTGATGGCCTCGTGATGATATGATTCATATTTGAAGTTCAAAATCGACATCGTCGGAGTTGATCAGACCAGGATTTAAATTGTGAATTGATTATCTCATCTAAGGTACATTTGCATATATGTTCTCCTTGCAACCATAATGATTTAGTTTCTTTTTTGTTTCGGAAAATATGGATGAACAGAAAAAAGCTGTGAAGATTGTTGGGGTCCGATTACTAGAAAGCAATCAGATAACTATATTGCAATATTAAAGAGATGTTACAATATTGATAAAGAGATGTTACAATATTGATGGCCTTTCGGGAAGACTATCTCTCTCCCAAAGTTCTTCACTTTTCCAGATGTCCTTCTCTACCTACTACCCCTAGCTATATTCGACATACCTCTAACTAATTACTATAATATCCCTCATAATATACTAATAATATTCTCAATATAGTACTCCTATCAGGACTCTCGCAATTGTGATTGTGGTATGTACTATGACTCAATTTGATGTATTTTTCTTCCCAACTAAGTTAATTATTGTTAAGCTAGTGAAATTTAATCAATTTAGAGAGCTAGATTCTCAATTCTTCAATAGTTAGAGGAAAAATGTCTCAGGTTTTACGGCTCGTGGCAAGCAGAGTACTTGGGGAATGAACTTAAAATTCTTAGAACCTTGTGTTGGTTAAGCACTTAGGTCCTTATATCTACGTATCTCATACTACTCGGGTCATAGCATCAGCTAGTGATGTTTTCAACTATTGGACTCTCCATCTAAAGTGTAGCGTAGCGGTGCTTGTATTGAGTTCTATAGCCACGTAAATTATAAATTGGACTGAGGAGTGTATTATATTTTCACATTTGCATGATAGCTCTCAAAGTCTAGCTAACTATAGATATTATTTAATCACGAGTTAATTAGAAATGCCAATACAATCTCACAAGATAGCGTTATCATAAGATAGGGAAAATTAAGACAATAATTTATACAATGTTGTATACTTTTTTCATTCTTATTAAAAATTTGTAAATGATTAAAAATCTCCAAGTGTGTATATTAGAAATGAATTGTCAATATTAATTTTGTAACTAGTTTTATAGGAATTTTAAGAGACTATAGGATCCTAACCTTGCATATGAATTATGATGATGAATACAGAAGATTACAGGGAAATTGAGATTTTTGACCCCTTCCAATAACCACTTTGGACTTTTGACCCCCTTTTGATTTTTACCTATTTATGACCCCTCCACCTCAGAAGGATGGTTGGACTTTCTGGAATCCATCTTGGGACTCATCCCGGTTCGAAATGGACGGGGACGAGGCCCGAGATAGAATCCTGAAAGTCCATATCTTGTACATCGACTTTCTGGATTCCATCCCAGGTTTCAACCCGGTCCGTTTCTAAGCAATATTGTTTTGTTTTGTTACAAGAGACATGGATATGACACTTAAGATCAACCAAGACGACTGGTTCCCGGCCGTGCTGTCAAATCTCGCTCACGTAGGGAAAACCTCTTCTCGTCTTAAGGCTAGGTTAACTCCCTCTCAGTTAGACATGTTTAGTCAAACATGTTTTGGTCCGATTTTAGGGATGAACGTTGTATTTAACGGTCCGTTGCTCCATCACTTGTTGCTTAGAGAGGTGGAGGAACCTAGAGACGACCTCATTAGCTTTAACCTATTCGGGAATAGGGTCTCTTTTGGGAAGCGGGAGTTCGACCTAATAACCGGTCTTAGACACACCATGAATAGGGTAGACGAGGATGTTCATAACTGGAGACTTAGAATTCTGTATTTTCAAGACAAGGCGAGTGTGAAGTGTTCGGAGTTGGAGAAAATTTTTTTAGAACACACATTCGAAAATGACGAGGACGCTGTGAAGATTGCTATAGTGTACT